AACGAACTTATTTTAAATAGAGATAATAAAGTGGGTTTATAAAATAAAACCACAGAGGCAGAAAGCTACCTGCCTCTCTTAGAACGCTTCATCTACTAGTCTTCATCTAGTTTGCTGCTTGATGCTGTACTAAGCTATCATTAAAGTGTTTCCCTCCTTTCAGTCCTCCCTTTCTTTTTTTTCCTCCTTATTGCTTCTGCAGGACTGACACTACCTTCTGAATTTATTCCCCCTCATTGGACAAGCAGTACCCGTGAGACAAAAACTCTTCTTTTTTTCTTTCTTTTTTTTTTTTTAAAGACAGGTTTCTTGGAACTTCCTCTTCTTAAGCTCTCTCCAAAGTCCACAAGCACATACAAGACGTAGAATAAAAGAAAGATGCTGTCAGTGGTGATGCACACTAGGATCCACCAGCAAAGAAGAACTAGATATAAAAGCATTCAATTTTGGAGATTATGTGGCCACTGCTAAAATAATGTCCTTTAATGCAAAAAAATAAATTACTTTTAAATGTGTTTCCATGGCAAAAGCAGCCACCTGGCATGCAGGTCAGTACTTGAAAATGCTATGACAAGGAATGGAGGCTGACTAGTTAATATAAGTCAGCCACCATACCCCTGCCCATATTACAACTCAGTAGGCTTTGAAGAAAGCGTGCTGGAGATGTCATTTTTTTATAAGCATCCACTTCAGCTATTTCAGGCTAGCAAGGGATGCCCTACATCACTGTGGTACTGCTTACAGATTTATGACATAGGATCATTGGTTACAACTTCATACATTGCAAGCATTTGTGCAGAATACAGTCCAATGTGTGCATATTCACTGTAACATATATTCCTAAGATTGCTTAATTAGCACTATTATACAGAAAAAAAACTTCAGGCATTACACGTCACATTTCTCATGCCTACTTTTAAAACAGAAGAGTAGTATTTTTTTACAGGTGGACAGGGGCTCTGAATTTTGTTTTTTCCAAGAGCGTACAGGAGTAAGGAGCAGAATGCTTTGTAGGAGGAAAGCACCTGTTTAAAATATTTCATATTCCTCCTTGCACTCCAGTAATTTAATAACTGCCTCGATTAAAAAAACCAAACCACAAAGCCAACAAAAAGAACCTACACTGTTTTTAAAGACTAAGTTTAGTGAGCATATATTCCAGAGAGAAACAATGTAACAGGAAAGAGTAAATCAATGCCTGTCTCCCAAAGCCCTGAATGAAGATCACGCACCTTTCTGGAAGTCATGCTGTGATTAAACCAACCTCAGCAGAAGGGCAGCCATTCTATGGCATATTTTCCACTAGAGGTCAGGCTGAAGGAGCTAATGATCTATTTTAGCCTTCAAAATCTATGAGTGGGAGTTACTAATCAAGATTTGGAAGTTTGAAAATCAGTATTTAATTAATATTGCTTTGCTTCACTTAAAGTGAATCACAAAAATGTATTTTTCTAAGTGTCCAACAGCTGGAGGTATTTAATCATGAGAGTATTTTAATGTATGTCAATACAACCTTTCACGGAGCACTTGATGTGCCATCTCAGCTGGCAGGACAAGGTTTGCAAAAGAGAAAAGTTCTTCAGCCTTGAAATGAAAAACATGTTAGTCTGAATAATAACAAACAACATTCTAGTTACTTTTAAAAAGGTATTTTTAAAGTTTTTAAAGTTTTGCTTTCTATTTTTTGCTCTTAGAAAGGGCATACATTACAAGCATTTTCCACCAAAAATCTAGATTGAATCCGTTCCTGTAAATAACTAGGAAGAGACACAGCTAAGCACGGAGCACATGACCATAACAGGCTTCAGGTGACCAGAAAATTTTTCAAAACCCCAAAGATATTTGAATGAGGAGCCTAAGCTTTTCTTTTCCTGTATTTTGGCGACTTATGCAATTCCATCACTTGCAGAAACATTGACCCAGCTTCTTGAAATAAATACCTTGAAGGCAGTGAAGTTCAGATATATGCTTGCTTCTGAAACTTCAAGGAAATGTTTAATGTATCATTTATAGTTTTAAACATCTGCTTTGTTGTGATAGGACATGAAGTCATGCTCAAATGGCCAGTCCTGGCTCAGAGCTCTTTGCCAGTCACCAGCCCTCTCAACAGCTCACTGCCTTCAGCCCATCTGTCTGCAGCCATGAAAACCAGGACAAAGTAACTTTGGCCAAAGCTGCATTAGCATTTACTCAGAGTCAAAAACTAAATTGAGGAATTGCTCATGTTTACACTTCTGAAAATGAAGCAGCCCATGAAATTCACTCAGAGATGTAATCAGCTAACTAGGTCAAGCTATGTCAGCTAGCATTTTAAAGTACCTCATGGTCAACCACTAGAGCCACTTCAAAGACACACAACGTACGAATATAAAGTGTCATGAATAATTGGCAGAGAGAAGAAAACTTTTAGTTTCTCCAGTCGCCTAAGATTAGTGGTGGGAATAACAGGCACAAGGAACAGAAATGAAGCCTAGAAGACATTGGTTTGATCTCTTTTTATATGTCTGCCATGGACTAGTCTTTTCTGTACTTTCACCAGGCCAGAAGCAGCGTATGTGCTGATAACAGCCAGTCATTTAATCAGTTACAGATTACTTCATTTAATGATTTTTTAACAGAACCTGGTAATAGCAGTCCGAAATCCACATGTGCATGTTTTAAAAGGTGAAAATTCAGCTTAGCTCAGTAATACATTCAACTAATACACTCTTTTCCCTTTATTAGTTCTCCTGAAAATAAGCTAACCTTTTAAAATTTACAGCTGTACAACAGGTACAGTATACCTCTCTGAGGCATGGCCTGGAGAAATGCAAGAGCTGTTTGACAAGGACCACTCCAACACACTTCTACAGAGCTGGCAGTTGGAATTTGACTGAAGCTGGTAAGCCAGATTTCCCAGATTGAGCACGTACCCCACCCAGATGCACAGATGGTATTTGTGGGAGCAAAGGAAAATAAAATATAGGTTTAAAATAAATGCAAGAGAAACACAGAATAATATTGAATCACTCTAGGTACTTCTAAAGGTTTCCGTTTATCTTTTCTACTTCTCAGCACATAACGAGTGTATGTACAGGGCTTTGAAACCACTGAGCAAATGGAAGGGATTTAAAACTAGTTTTGTTTCAAATGTAAGATCACAGAAATAAAGACAGGCTCCAGGTATTTCTCTTCACAATGTGATTGCTGTACAGAAGCTTGATGCAAAAGGAGTTAAAAATGCTGTTCCTGAATATGTCTGGCAATGACAGCTGGGCTTGTCAAAAGAGCCTTTTTGGTGCTAAAGGACTCGCTCTGCTGCTGAATTTCAGATGGGTCCCTCTGCATGGTGACGACTTTGCCATTGTTTTAAATGCAGAAAGACACACAGCTGAAAAGAGGCAATCTACAAATAAGTGAGGGAAATACAGCTTTAGATGCTGGTATTACGATACAAGGAGGCAGAGTAGCCACAGACAGATCAATCTGAGTTGGCAAGTTGACTCTTAGAATGGTTCGTCTAGGCGCCAGCTCTAGGTCCAGCCTGGCCCCTTCTCCCTCCATCACTAGTCCTTCTCAAGCTAGGAGGAGCTGAGGGCCAATCTTACCTTGTTATGATGATACCATCCAAGCTAGCTGGTCTCAAGATCCCATGAAAAGCTAGCAGAGAAAGAAGGAATAGGAGGAAAACAGCACAGGTAGGAAGCGGTGGAGAAAGATGTGAGGAGAAGAAACATGAAAGCCCGTGTTTCCCATTGGAGTCCCTGGTAACCCAGAGGTGTTGACGTGCACTTACTCTGCCATCTCACGAACTGAAGCTCCACAATGTTCTACTTTTAATCCTCTTAAGCATCGTCCTTCTAGAGGATCCAGCTCTTCATTATTTCACTTGTTAGTTAGATTTAATTTCTGGTAAATCAATGTTAACTTCTTGATTTCAACTCCCACCCTTCTCTTGTTTAGCAGACATGACTTAAACACTATCCTTGAACTGCAATAAAAGTCTCCCTTCTTTGGATTCAAGCAGTCTGCCTGTACCCTTCTTGACTCCTGCCGCTACCCTTTTCAGTTACAGCCTAACGTAACACTGCATGGACCTCTCACAACTGTGCGTAGATAGACAGGTCCTCCTGTGATATGCCTTGCAGTACTACATCCACTCCTCCCATGCAAAAAGAAGAGAAAAGCAAAGCCTTTGGCATATGGAGGCAGCAGAGAGAACTCTCCAGCTCCTCTCTGGTCTATCCCTTAGCAGCACAGCTGCTGGGGTAGGAAAGTAAACCAAACATGTTGCGCTTTGACTTCAGCCATTTAAAACTTATCAGCGACCAGTACACTGGATATAAAGACTCTTCTGGGTCATTTTTTTTCCTTGAAATCTTGTGCTATTTTTCAAGCCACAGCTACAAAAACAAACAAACCAACCAAAAAAGACCAGGAAGAGTCTTTAAAGAAAATATTTCCAACTAATACATCATAGAAATATATAAGCAAAGAGCAAAATTTTCTATCAGCAACATCTTTATGACAGTATGACATGGAAACTAATTATATATTCACATCTGAATTACTTGATATATACATTTGCAAGTGTCATTTTATGCTGAATTTATTGAAAAATTAAAATAAACCCTTCTACACAGAGTCTACACTTTATTCAATCACGAAACCTATGTTTGGAGTAACTTCAACAAAAAGAATTACTTCAAATTTTCACCAGCATCACTAAACAGAGTCTAGCCCAAATACTTTTTTTCCTTTTTGATCTATTCAACTGCGAGAAATGGAGCTGCAATGGTTTGGGGTTTTTAATCCCGAAGTGGATTATACAAACAACAATTTCATCAAAGATTTTTTACAACAAGCCTAGCATTACTGGTTATATCTTATTATTAAGGTAAGCATTCTTCAAAGAACCGTATGATTGGAATCTCTTTCAGGTACACAGTGACATGCTATTTGCTGGCTCCAGTGAGAAGCGTCAAAATGAAAACAAAAATACAAACATGCTTTTTTTTTCCTCTTGTCTTTATTGATTTAGACTTCAGAGCTACAGCCAAAAATAGTGCATCTGTAGAAAATTACCACACATGCTATCCATACAGCATCATCGCATGTTTAGAATTGTAAGCACTTGACAAATCGCAAAGGGAACATTCAATCTAACATTTTGGCAACGCAGACCATGAATAGGGAACACAGGGAGAAGGATTTTTTTTCCTCCAGAAAGAAATATTTCTGAACAGGAATGAAAAGCCTCTGTTAAAAAATGAATTCCAGTCACCATGGAAAACTCATGCTGGCTCATTCAAGCCATCGACATACACTGCTGGAAACTTTGCGTGGAATGTCGAATGGTACACAGAAGCTACGACTCTGCTACAGGTACAATGCCGTCTTCAGCACTTTGTATGCCATCGAGATGGTCACTGCATACCCAACTGCCCAAGACAAACCTCTGCTGGGCTGGGGAAGAGGGATCAAGTACGCAAAAGTGTGAGTGATCCTAGCCACAGCGAAGATCCTGAAATGCAGCAAGGCTGTGTACGGCTCAGGGCCACTAAGAGCATACAGCAGTCCAATGCCAAGAAATGGGACAATATTTTCAAGGTCATTCAGGTGGCCTCTGGGGAAATAAGCAAAGTTGTTTTACAGTGTTACATTTTGTTGAACAAACTACTTCAAGCATCATTATTTTTCAGCATCTTCAGATCATGCTACTGTTAAGGCCCTAACACAACTGCTGGCTTCCTCTGCAGTGGGGACTTGATTCAGCTACTGAAATGATTTTGGTATGTTCACCTGGTATCGCTCTGCTCTCTCTTGCTGCACCCCACATTTTTAAGCTTCTGATCTTCTGTATGAAAGGTCTTAGCTTTTCCCCAGGATCTTGGTAGTATTAGTGACTTACATGAGGTATATGAGTGCACCTGGATGTGCAAGAATGCAAGGAAAGGCAGGGAAGAAGACAGAGAGCTGGAATTTTCTTGTAGCCTCTGTCAACTGAACATCAATTAACTGGATGACTGTGACTGCAACTACTAGACTTCATGGCCCAGATGGTCTATTCCAATCCCATAAACTTAGTTTGTAGTCTCCATAAAGAAAATATGAAACATCCTATATATGAAACATTCTATCAAATCTTCATGAAGTTCAATCACCTTGAAGAATGTTATTTTTGAGCATCTAACAGGTGTGACAGTTATGCCTTTGGTTCATTTTCTTCACTACTAAGCACTAAAATAGCTGAAAAATGTTTGAAATTTTGAAACCATAATATAATTTGCTAAATGCATGTTGAGACTGAACTCCAGATCTTGAAGTACTCTTTTACACCTCTTCCTAAACCTTCCCTGCTCCCTTTAGCTCTTTAGATAAATTATACTTCCAGCCAAATTTACTGATTGAAACAACCTCTAAGTCTTACTAATTATGTCAGAATTCACAGCCAACTAGAATCAGAACATGGTGCTCTTTTGCAGCTGCTTTCTGAACTCATTTATCATTACAAGGAAACATATCCTCCAGCTTCCCCGCCCCCCAAAAAAAAGTACACTGAAGAAAGTAATGTCTTTTCTATACCCATAAACAGAACAAATTCCAGTCATTTATATAGAAGAGAAGCCATGCTAAATCTATGTGGCACTATCTGTTGCCATGAAGTTTGCAAAAGTGTTGTGGCTTAACCCCAGCCAGCAAATAAGCACCACACAGCCACTCGGTCACTCCCCCCTGGCGGGATGGGGGAGAGAATTGGAAGGGTAAGAGTGAGAAACTACTGGATTGAGATAAAGACAGTTTAATAGGTAAAGCAAAAGCCGCGCATGCAAGCAAAGCAAACCAAGGAATTCATTCACTACCTCCCATTGGCAGGCAGGTGTTCAGCCATCTCCAGGAAAGCAGGGCTCCATTATACGTAACAATTACTTGGGAAGATAAATGCCATCACTCTGAACAACCCCCCCTTTCTTTCTTCCTTCCCCCAGCTTTATATGCTGAGCATGACATCATATGGTGTAGAATATCCCTTTGGTCAGTTGGGCTCAGCTGTCCCGGCTGTGTCCCCTCCCAGCTTCTTGTGCACCCCCAGCCTACTCACTGGTGGGGTGGGGTGAGAGGCAGAAAAGGCCTTGACTCTGTGTAAGCACTGCTCAGCAGTAGCTAAAACATCCCGGAATTATCAACGCTGTTTCCAGCACAAATCCAAACCATAGCCCCATACTAGCTACTGTGAAGACAATTAACTGTATCCCAGCCAAAACCAGCACAAAAAGAAAGTATAGTAAAATTCCATTAAGAACCATTGTTGGGAGAAAAAAATGCATGCTGCAACACCAATGGAGTAAGTAGAACCAAGCTCACTTACTAGGTCTGGGGAAGTCTGAACAACTCTGCAAAACAGCAACACAGGATTTGATAACTCAGTGTTTTAAAAATCTAATCTGTGCACATGACTCTGTGAGGTGGTTGTCATTTCCCTAACGTAACAATCTGAGTTAAAAGGGCATCTGGTTGTAAAGTTAGTATTGACTTAGTTGTGCTCTTAGAATTTCCAAATAGAAAGGAATTACTCCTCACCAAAAAGTGCCTATTTTTATACAACAACCAGCAAATTAAACAACTAACAACTCCCTGAACCACTCAGGGGCAGAAAAGGAAAGTGCAGGGCATCTTTACAGCCCACTGAGATTAGTACTCTTCCTTCTGAGATTTTAGTCCAGAAGTGACATACAGGCATATACCAGCCTTCATGCAACCACAGTCATCTACATTTGCAAGGATGCACTGTTCTGAAATCAGAGCTGATACTTATTTTCAAGATCTTCCCTAATGGTGGTTTAAATGAGAACAGTTCATTCACATTCAAGTTTTTGGTAAAAAAATACATATAGCAAATAAACTGTTAGCTTTGTTGAGGAACAATGATACGGAAAGCATTCCACTAAAGCTTTCCTTGTTAGCACAGGTGTATCAAACAGCATCTCTAAAGTTAAGATTTTGGTAACTGAAAATTTTGCCATCAGCTAAATAAAATTAAATAAGCTGCAACGTTTAGCCCAATGAAATACAGCTTACATTCTGCCATGAATCTTGCAAAACAAAATACGTACACTGCAGGTTGCATGCTGCCATACTATTAATAGCATTCTTCCAGAAGGCTGGTCAACTTTCCTGTACAACGGACACATCAGTGAGTAGCCTTGGTTTGATCCGGCAAAAAGAGCACAGGCTTTGACTCCCACTCAGTACGATTTGCCAGATTAATCCCCTCATCACAACCCTGGAGTTCCATGACTCTAACATAGTTTTACTCCTCTTCCCCCTGGTATTTCCTTTACACTTTAGGAAAAGATGCAACTAGTGCAACTGGTGTTCAAATCATATAGAAAGCTGATTTACACTTAATGTACGCTGCTTTGTACTAAATCAACTTACGGTCATATTTTACAATCTTCTCACCACTTCCCCCACGCATACAGGATACTATCCAAGAGTTAGCTATGATAACCAGACAATGACTTACTATTTTTAGTATGCATGCTGACCATTTGAATGTGGAACAGTTTGTTCATTTAGAAAAATTAATGTATCAGATTATTACATAAAGCAAAACACACACAGGTTTGCCAAAGAGAATGGAGTGAAGTTAATTCCTTGATTTAGTATTCTGCTATTTAAAATATTTTTTAAAGACTCCTATGCATTACCTGCGCACACGTTCAACATCTGGATCAGTCCGCAGATATTTTTTAGCACTCTCGCCTTTACCAAGTGATGCTGTATCTTCTGGGTTAACAAATGCCTATTTCAAACATAAACACACACGAGACATTAGAAGCCAGAATGTTTTTCCTAGTCAAGGCAGCTTGCTATACTAATGCCTCTATAACCTCACTTAACTTACCTGAAGTTAAATGCAAGGGGAATAATATATTGTTCACTGCATTACTGTTTTCTTGAGCCTAGCCCGTATGTAGCTTGCATGCTGACAAATTAATGTAACGTGATTTATGCAAGTAGATAAAGCCTTCTTGTAAGATGGACAAGCATGGCAGATGACTGACACTCAGCCTGAAGTAATGCCAGTGGGCTGAAGGAACATAAGGCCCTGGAAGATAGAACTACTGTCTGTGCTGCCTAAATCTCTTTTTCACTATTCTTGACAAATTATCTGAAAGCCCTTTTGGATCCCTTCCTTCTTCAGAAGTCTACACAGCAACAGCATCCAAAAGAATCATCCCACCCTCATTCATAACCAAGTAAGTTTCTCCCTTTCCTCTTAGGTATAAATTTTTCCACTTATATGGCCCATTATTACCTCCAAATATTGTAAGACACTATTTGAAAACAACATTTAATCCTGTTAGTGCAGACTGCAGTAGATCTCTCCTTGCTAACACGTGGTAACACATACGTTCTGTGGACCATTCAGGCTATGCAGGCTTAAGTCAAGAAAACCTTTTGATTTTAGGAGAGCTATATGCTTGTTTTCTGAGGCAGCCTTGATCCCTTTCTGTGAAATACCTTTGGCCTAAAAAATCTGGAGACATGTTAACAGTATCAGCATCAGCAACACTTTACCTTCTCTCGCTCCACTAACTGCTTTCCTCCATTTTTTCTTTAACATTTTGAAGACTTTTTAATATTAAATAGGAAATAAAAATGACTTTACTAATTCGTTTGTTTGTAATATAACTTTCTGTCACAAGAAAACCAAGTACTCCAAATTAATGAATGCCCTATTGTCATCTACATACATATGGATCATAATACAGTATAGGCATTAATACAAGACTCCCTCGGATCTACATATAGGACCAGCACAGCTGATGTGCTTCCACAAGAGCAGAAGGAAGCTAGGTTACGACACAGACATCTGGGTCCTGTTTTGAACATACAGGACAGGCTGTGTGGTCTACTGTACGCAATCTTCAGCTGTGCCAAAGACCTAAAGAACTATCAGAAACCAGCAGTAGCTCAAATGCTGTGCTATTAGGACTTCATGAACAACAGAACAGTTCAGCTGGGTTCCCTTGCACCCAGCAGGAACAAAAAGCAGCATTCCAACTAAAGGACTGCAACAAAATCCTTGCAGCACACACTGTCTTGCAGAAGCAGATCTCAGAAGAATAGCCATACGGGGCAAACTCAGGGCTCTTTTCAGCCCAGGACCAAGTGTTACCAACAGTGGCCATGAGCAGATGCCTAGAGAAGACCAAGAACAGGGCAAACACAACACAATGCTTCCCATGAGCACTCTCTCCTAAGCTAGATGCAGCTTCTGCATTATTTAGTAAATCTTAGTGGATCTTTCATATAATTACCCAGCCTACACATCAATCCATGCGAATTTTCAGCCTGACTCTCATTCTAGAAAAAAGGGGTTTTTTTTTTATAATGGCCTACCTGCAATGGGAAGGCTAAAACAATTGGGGAATGTAAAGAGCTTTAGAATTACTGGGTGAAAGAGTTATAGATGCATAAAAATCCACTTCATATCCCCTATTCTGACCCTACTAGTTGGTTATTCGTGTAACATGGCTCCATATCACATTTTATTTGCTTTATAAACTGGGTACCCTAAACACCAGTTTTCTGCAGAAGACAGTGATAATTACAGTTATTAAAAACTCTTATTTTAAAATAATTTTTTAGAAGGGTAGAGTAAGTCAAATGCAACTGTAAGATACAGTCTCATTATTGTCTCATAATTAGGTTAAAGACGTCATCCATTTGAGGCCAACAAAGCACCAGCACGCCAAACTCAGAATCTCATTAAAGGAGGGAGGAGGAAGAAAAAGAACAGCACCAGTATTTGAAAGCTGAAAAGGAAAACCTGTGATATCTCTGTATTTCAATATAGATTTCAATCTATTCTACCAGACAGTATTCCCACTTTCTTACCTTTCTTGTGATTCTGAAGTATGCTGTTATAAGACTCATTAGCATCATTTTTAGAAGAACAATAGTTGCATAAGTAGCATAAGCCCGGAAGACTTCATTGTCAATTAACTGGGTCAATTTAGCCATTTCTCCACTTCTCACTGATGACCTTTAAAAAACATTAAAGTTAGGGTAACATCATAGCAATCCAAAGTTCTGACAACAAGATTGTCAGAATAGCCTTTTTCTTAGCATCACTGCAATGACAGAACAATTTTGCCACTGTGAAAAGTTTATTTGCAAACAAATTTATTTTTCCTCAGTCTATTTTCACAATGGCATAATATAATACTTTAAGATGAGAAATTATATTATCATTTTTCACTTCCATTATATCTGCTTATTAAACTGCCAAAATATAAACCACCAAAATATTTAATGTAATTGCAGAAACAAAATTTAGTCACAGAAATCAGTACACTTTTGAAATAACATAAGGAGTTAGACCAATTTTAGACCAATTCATTTGAACTAGTGAATTTTCCTAAGCAGTTACCAGAAATGATGACATACTATACATACTATACTGTTTAAACAGGAATATTAGTATCGCCTACCTTTTTTTTTTGGTAAAATGACACAATTATAATTGCACTTCACCTTTCAAACTAACCAGCATCTTCCCACCCAGCAATAACTTGTGATCAAACCGAGTTAAACATGCAGTTTTCTCCTTTGAGACCTTGTTCTTAAAAATTGCTTTTAGCATGATTCACGGGCAAAGATTAAGTTGTAATGACAAAAAGCAGAGACCTATTTATGCTTTTATTGTGGGAAGTTTAAGCTAATGAACTCTTTCCAACGAGACCATACCAAACCCACAATCCCATGGAGGTGGTACCTTTTATCAACACCATAAAGTCAAGAATGTGATGAGGACTGAATGCACATAAAACAAAAAGCGTGTCTCATTGCACATTCAATTTGTGCTCTGCATGGAGCAATGCTTTTGCCTCAGCAAGTGCTTCAATCGTGCACTTAGTGAGTAGGAATCCATAAAACTAGCGTGTCTTAGCTTCACTCAAGACCGGAATAAATGTACTTTTTGCTATAGTTAACTTCATTATTTCCTATGATATAATTTTAACAATAGTAATAAAAAGGTTAATAATGATAACAACTTGATTACAGCCCTAGCAATCTCTCATCTTGCTTTCAGCATGGAGTCACTGCCAGCTATAGCCAAACAAGGGAAACTGGACGAGACGAGAGCAGTAGAAGACTATTGCTCTGAAGGCACATCCTTGGTGGGGAGGTGGGCAGGACGAAGATAAGCAGCTGTTTGCTCAGTGAAACAAATCTAGCCTTGCCTGGACCTGTGTGCCTGCGGTGATGGGATTTTGCTTCCTCTTTTATCCTTTCCAAAACAGTGCTTGGATCACCAGGCCAAGCACTGGGTCTAGGGATTACAAGAAATTCAGTATAACGTTCCTTCCTCTCACTTCGCAGTACAGCGGTTCTCAAGATAATCAGCAATTCGGCAAAGATTTTTCACAGTAGTTTCTACAGGATCTGCATAGTTTCACACAAGAAGAAGAAAGTAAATCTGTGGCTTCAGAGTGTTTTTCCTCACTGTATTTTAAAGCCATTCCGAAAATATACCCAAGAACTATGCAAAGTCATGAGAAAGTGTTCACCAGCGTCCCTACACTGACATTTATCCATTTTCCCTACTTGTAGGGTTGGCCCTTCCAAATTCTCATAAAGCCCAGGCCTTGCCTTCACCACGAAACGGAAAGATCCAAACCTTACCAAAGACAAAGAATTCATCGTTTTAACACCAGCAGAAAAGCCAAAATAACCCCCACATACTAAACCAGCATAGGACTTAAAGGGATATGCTAACTAAGAGTACAAACAGCCTGATCTGCGAATGTAATACCTCTCTGTGGTGCAAATACAAAATCCAGGCCCGGTAAGCGCTCAAGTCTAGATGCCATGTAAAGGGTCTTAAAAGAAAAAATGGGGTAAAGCTACATCAGCTGCTGCGCCCTCGGCGGGAGCACAGCCACGCTCACGACCCTGTCACGCGCGGCTCTGTCCCCATGCTGGCTGGCCGTGCAGCTGTAATCAGAAATATCAGCCCCGGGGCGGCCTTCTGCTCTTCGTGTGTTAAAAAGCGACTTTCCAAAGTGCGCTCAAAGCACGCTGAAACTACTGTTACCTGCCGGCGAGGCCCTGCGCCCTGCTACACACTCCCTTTACGAA